GCACAAGTGTCTGCCTGGCCGCAGCACGATGGGCCAGCTGCCCTCCTGCTTCTCCTGGTGCGTGCCTGCTCTGTCCCTCTGGCACCGGGCACGGCCTGTTCCCGGCAGAGCCGCGTGCCTCACGCCTGCAACTGTGTCCTTTGCAGGGGTGGCTCTGGTGGCAGCCAGCTGGGTGCCCTCGTGTCCCGACGGCATCCCGAGCTCCTCCGCTGCGACTGTGTGGAGGTGACCTGGCGTGGGAGGAAGAGGAGGAGAGACCTCCTGCTTTTCCAAGGCGCCCTTGCTTTTGCCAAGCGCAGGTAAGAAGAGAGGATGGCAGTACTCTCTCTTCCCACCTCCTGACTCCAATACCAGCCGTCAGGAGGCATCTCGCAAAGCCCTCTCGGGCTGGACCATTGCTCCAATGGCCCAGAAAGTCCCAGGGAGGCTCTCTGGGGAGGGTCGGCCGCTCAGCAACCAGGGCTACAAGAGTCAGGGGGTGTCCCCGGCAAAGATGTTGCCGATTTGGGTGAGCTGTGAAGCTGGGCAGCCCTTCCCAGGGCTCTGTCAGCTGCAGTGGCTCTCCCAAGGAGGATTTCCATGGGTGCCCCCCAGAAGGCAAGCTCACCATCAGCCCCTGCTCTTCCTGGCTGCAGATGTGGCACCAGGTTCTGGCTGCAGCACAGGGTGCGTCTCAGCGAGCTGTGGGTGCTGTGCCAGGAGGAGGAGGCGTGCGTGTGTGCACAAGAAGATGCAGCATTGGGCCTGGACTGCAGCTGTACCCTCATCCTCGTCTGGCCCACCAGCCTCTGCGGGGTCACTTTCGGGTGAGTCGCGGTGACGTGTCACCCAGGCGTTGGGCTGTCTGGCCCAGTGCTCGCCTTCAGAGCCCAGCTGGCTCCTCAGGTTCACGGCACGGGGCGGGGAGGGAAAGCAGAGGCACCGCTTTGCTTGGGCAGCGTTTTGCAGCTCGGCTTCTCTTCTGAGCTGAGCCTCTCCCCTCTGGAAACAGCCCGTGCACAAGGTGTGCGCTGTCAAAGGGGTGAGGCAAGGCGTGGGCTGAGGCGGGGGCTGTGTGCAGACAGGCGGTCCCGTTTGCTCCCAGGAAAACCCAGGTGCAGTTCTGGCAGAGCTGGGCTGTCGCTTCCCTCTCTGGAGAAGCCCCGTGTCTGCGACAGCGCTCCTCAGCCCAGGGGCATCCCAAAGGCTGCAGAGTTGCAGCATCAAAAGGGACTCCTGGAGAGACGAGGCTGCGTCATGAGCAGACCCTCCTTGGCTTTGACTTTGTTCTCCGGAGGGAAAACTGCACAACACCTAGCTGGTGGCAGTGGGGTGTGACACTGGTTCTCCTGTCTCCTGCAGCTCGCAAGAGGTGAAAGAACTCTGGCTGGATGCCATCCTCAGGTAAGCCCTGCTGGAGTAGCAAACCTCTGGTGCCACTGTGGCAGTTGGTGGGATGCTCCAGCTGCAGCTGCAAGGCAGCTCGAGGGTTGGGGCACAGAGTACCCGCACTGCTGGGGCAGCTGCGGGGCAGCACTGCCCGAGCTGCTCAGCCTTGCCTTGGGAAAGTAACAGCAAGTCAAGATCCAGCTGTCGCCACTTGCCCCTTTTGCGCCTGGACTTCTTTGGCTGTTTGGATGCAAATGGTGCTGGACGGGCTGTCAGGGGAGAGGGCTAAGCCAGGCTCAGTGACACAGAGCTCTCCCTTTGTCCATTCCCTGTTCACAGGCAAAGCAGCACAGCCCAGGGAACACGAGTGACCACACTGCCCTCGCTTAATCTCCTTGTATCGGTCTTGGGCCTCTGCAGATCTGTAAGTGTCTAAGTTGTTCCAGCTGGCTCAAGGGAGTGATGCTGCTTTCTAGCACAGTCCATCAGAGGAGCGTCTCCCACTTGGCCTTTGTTCTCTTGTCTAGCCGGTGACGATGACTGCCCAGATCATCGAGACTCTGGTTCAGTGCCAGGCAAAAGTAAGCAGTGGCTACCTTTCTCCACCTTGGCATCGTGTATGGGTGGGAGAGGCCTCAGGAGAGGAAGGGCAGCTTTTCTGGGATGGGAAGCCATCAAGACAGAGGCCTCTTTCTCCCTGGTGGGGTTTGGGCAGAAATCTCCAGTGCCGGGGCGGAGAGCACAGACGGGCAGCCCGTGTCCCCTGTGCTCCACGCCAGTGACTGGTGCCCAGCTGTGGCTTTTCTGGACCGCACAGCAGCCGAGAAGGGTGCTGGGGCAGTGCCCTGTGGGCAGGTCCCGAGGAGCTGGGTGCAGCCCCAGCCTTGGGAGCAAACACCCCCGTGGGGCACAGAGACCGTGACTCCCCCCTCCTCGGGCTCGTGGCCCTGAACTGCAAGTCTGTGGGGCCAAAGGCCTTTGCCTTCATTTCCCCGTGGGGAGAAGGATTACCACTTCCACACGGAAAGTAATCTGGGACGGATTCTTTTTCCTGCTGCCTGCCCAGAGTATCCCACATTGCTGTCCTCAGGCTCAAAGGCACCGAGAAGACTGCAGTAGAGCCCTGGCCAAGCAGCAAGAGAGCCCAAGCAGCAAGAGAACCCAGATGCAGCTGGAGCCCAAAGTGCCTGAGCCTGAGGACAGCAGCGAGCACGCTGATGTGCAGACAGGTAGAATGCTGTAAAGCTTTGAATTTCAGGTCCAACTCAAAGCACGTGGATCCAGATGAACCTGGAAAAGGCAATTCATGGGGCATTTGGGAGCGTCCCCTTGGTTTGCGGTTCTCTCACCGTTGCCCTGGTAACATCCTGGAATTCACCGCTTTGAACGTTAACACACGGGGCGAATTAGGGTGACCTTTCCCAGAGGTTAGATGACCTTTCTTCAGGTTTCAGTGCACCTCCTGGCACACAGGCCAGGGCTTCTTGCTTTGGTCTTTCCAGATGCTCCTCAGACGTGGCCTGAGGTTTGTGAACAGTGCCACTGCCGGTGCCCTGCCAAGCCTGCTGCACTGCTGCCCGGCGGCCCCCAGGCTTTTCTCCACTGGCATTGGGTTTCTCCCAGAACGAGGTGGTCTGCGCTGAAAGTTTTGGTCTTTTACCATCTGACTGATGCAGGTTGTCTCGTGGCCTCTGTAGCCCTTCTTTTCTGAGCAAGGTCTCTCAGCTCTCCCGTAGGAGACAGGTCCGGTTCAGACCAAGTGCCCACATTTCAGATGTGCTCTCACATCCAGGGCTCTTCTGGCCAAGGTAGGAAGGGACCGTGCATGTTCTTCACGGTGAGAGCCGGCGCTCTGGACTGTGATGACCGACATCTGCTGAGTGACAATGCTGCCGGGACCCTTCCCGAGGGGGGCAGCAGATGGCATCAGAGGGTCGCTCCTCACTTGGGGTGCAGGGTTTTGCCAGTTTCCTTCAGAGGAATCATTTTGCAGCACATTCTTGGCATGTAATTTGGCCTGCAGAATCCACAGGCAGAGTCGTGGCTGTTAAAGCTCATCTGACCCCAACACGTGTCATTCCTTATGCCTTTGCTTTCCAGAGCTGTGTTCAGATGAGCCTGGGGACCACGGAATAGAGGCGGGCGTGGTAGGTCAGGCAGACGTGCCCCTTGAGCGACCACCCTCGTTGCTCTGCAGCCTGGCAGAGGGCAGAGGAGCCATGGCCAGGGCAGCCGACGAAGGATAGGTATGAGGCAAAGCTGGGCTCACAAACCCTGTAGCAAAACAGCCCCTATCTGCAGTCAGTTTCTGTGGCAGAACCGAGGCAGCAGACTGCTTTCTTGGAAGCAGTCATGCTCTGGTGACTTTGCCTCGTTAGATGGCTCATCAAGAAGGCAAGCCTGAGAGCATTTTTTTTCTGTACCTCGTACAGTTCTAAGTCAAGCACTTAGCTTAGCTGTGTTCCTGATGATAATGCCCTAAACGAATACTCGCAAGGCTCTGAAATTCCAAAAAGTATCCTTCTACCTTAAAACCTAAGTAGTAGCACACCTGCACCCGTGATTTCCAAGCTCTCAGTATGAGTAATTCCCAATCAGGAGTAAGCAGAAAAGGAAAGCCTTTTTTATTCATTCTTACTCAACCTTACACATGTGGTTTCTCAGTCTTGCCTTCTAAGGATATAGTCAGATTTCCCGTTTGTTATAACAAACAGGGTAGAAAAACACCCATGAATGCTGGAAAGTGCAGAAAATCCTGGACCACCTTCCACTTGCCCCACGGCTAACTGTCATCTCTGTTTGCCCTGCCAGTAAAGCCACGTGTCTGGAGATCAGGGCACACTAAAGCAGCAGGAAAGGCTTAGTCTGGCCACTCACCAGACGCTTGCCAGGCTTACCAAAAATAAAACCAGTACATCAAGGAAGAAGTTCCCCTCTAGCCCACAGGGGTTCTCCTACTGCACAGGTGCCATGCGAGCCTGCTTTCCAGCACTTTCTCCTGTGAACACTTTTTGCAGAAATAGAGGCTGGAGGGACCAGGTGCTGCATATACTGATGTCCTCAGTCGTTATGTTGTTTGCCGAGTCGTTCCTCCAGATCAGAGAAGTGACAGCTAAAGCCTGAATGTTTCACAGGCGGCGTTGTCTCGGCAGGAACCTCGCGAACGCCAGCAGACACAACTGCTGCAGGCATGGGAGGAGACCCCCGAGAAGTCGGCAGCTCGGGCGTTTGCTCAGCAGGTCTTTGCTGAGCTCGACCTGGTCTTGAAAAACCTTTGTGAGAGCAAGTGTTCTAATGACCCCATTGAGAGAGGTTTGTATTATTTTTTTTTCTCTTTTTCACATGTGAGTGTAGCAATGTAACAGGCAGAATAGCCATAAAACAGACTTGCCAGTCCTGTTCTGTAGTGTTATGTGTGACAAGGAGAAAGTGTTGGTTGCAGGTCTTGGGTAGGGTCTTCTGATGGAAGTGGGAGCTGTGGGGAACTCAGGCCTGTTTGGATTCCAGCACGTAGCAGGAGGTAATGAAGACAGGCAGGCATCCTACCTCCTGCAGAGGGCCATGAGAAGCTGAGAGGATGGGAACCCCGTCTCCTCGTCCGGTCCTTACTGCTGGATGCTGTGAGTGTCCCAGGTGGTGTGATGGGGAGGGGATGTGCAGCCTCCTCCCAGTTCAAAGCTAAATGTGGCCCTGCAAATCCCAGCTGGATCCTTTCCCCAGTAAAGCAGGCAGCAGAAGGGAGCTTTCCTCGGGCTGCTCCTGTGTGGACCCTGCTATCTTTGGTGCGGTGTGAAACACCCACCCTGGTCTTAGAGAGGAGCCAGGCACCGAGCTGTTGGGTGCTTTTCAAGCCGACCTGCTTCTCGGCATGCCCAGGCACATCCTCAGCTTCTTCCACTGACTTTAGACCTCATGGTCGTGGAGAGAATGAGACAGGGGCAGAGGGAGAATACAAAAACAACCTCGCAGGAGCAACCTCATATTAAATAGAATAGAAGCAGCATTAGTGCTTCCTGGAAACACACTGCTTATGCTGTTAAAGATGGGAAGTAGAGACGTAGCTGTGAGTTAAAGGTTTCTAGGATAAATTAATCTCAGTCTCTTAAACATGCAGGTCCTTCCAACAGTGAGCATTACAACTGAATTCTCTCCACTTTTCCAGCTGCTTCTAATGGCTTTACTGGACGTTTTTACACAGTCAGGCCCCCTCTCAAAGGGAGAGCACAAAGGGAGAATGCTTGTGATTTGCTGTTATTTTGAAAACAGTCTTTGTGTTCTACTTTCCATCATGTTTCCAGTCTTCCCTTTTCCTTTCCAGGGAGTGAAGCCAATTTAATCTCTTCAAGCAGCACAGGCACTATTTCAGCGCATCAAGTCCCCATGTCTGCTGCTGGAAGCAAAAGATCTTCTTTTTCTCTCGAGTAAGCACAGCAGTTTTTTCCAGGATAGTGCAAGTGTTGCTAGTGCAGAGGTAGACGACTAGGTCTGGTCTTGCAGCTAATACATACAGTATCAGTATTGTGAGTGTTAAAACAATTTGGGTAACACTATGCTCTCAGGCAACACTAACACAGATGAGAACTGTGATACAAGAAAGAAACAAAAAAAGAGCTGTATTTGGAGGAAAAAAAAACCAAAAAGAAGGTTTTTTAGTTCTAAAAAGTTTTTGTTGTAAAAGTATTTTAAAGTTAAATGTCACGTTTGATGGCATGGCACTGAAACCAAGGACAGCAGATAGTAAACTCTGCACGACAGCCACAAACCAGCTGTTTCCTCAGGGATGTTGATTTGCCAGAGGAGCCACTTGTGAGGACACTGGGGAGCCCCAAATGAGTCAAGCTTTGTATCAGTCTATGGGAAGTCTTTCTTTTCGGCAGGACTGAAGACCTCTAGGAGTGATGTTCTGTGACGGTTCCGGTTTCTCCCCTTTCCAGGCGATCAGGGATATACATTTCTTGTGGTGACAACCACGGCATTGAGCCACAAAACCGAGAGCAGTACTTGAGTCATCTGCAGCAGAAAGAAGTTACAGTACAGCATTTGAAAACAAAGCTGAAGGAGTCTGAGAGCAAACTTCAAGAAAGGTATATTTCACTTTGGAAACCAGAGTTAGAATGATTTACTCAGGAGCATTTTGGGGTGGGAATCCAGGACCTTTTTTCTCATTTTCTGACCATGTAAAGATTTCATGAAGAAATCTGAAATATGATCAGACTGATTAGTTGTTTCAGGTTTCACCGTGATGCTCAGTGCATACGTACCATGCGGCTTAGTTAAGAATACGGCTGTCTGTCTCTTTTCCCTATTTTTGAACTTGCCCAATAGAATATTTTTAAAGGGTAGTTTTTTGCCAGTCTGATTTAGCACTGAGACCTTTTCTACATCAAGCGGTTTTTACCTGCAAGCATGTATTTGCTCCATCTCCTGTTCCACCTCGCTCAGAGACAGATGGCTACCAACGTCCCCCTTCTCCCCTAGCGAAAGAAAAGCTCTTACACACACCAGCGTGCCCACTGGTGGTTTTGCCCCTTGGGGACTGAATGGTTCACAACAGCCCTTTGTATGGACGCGAAGTGAAGCAGTGACACACAACCCAGGCGGGCACAGAGCGGGCTCTGCACGGAGCCCCAGGGCCAGAGGCCCAGGGAGCGCTTGGTCCCGCTCGCATCGCCCGACCTCCGCATCTGCGCGGGCTGGATCTCACGTGGGGGCCCCCTCTCCCCACTCCTCGCAGGCCAAGGCAGCAGCCCCTGGCCCCACGCGGGGCTGGGTGGGTGCAAAGCAAGGCGGGGGGCTGCAGCCCCGAGCCGTCCTGTGCCCGAGGCCCGTGTTGGCTCTGGCTGCAGGTGCCGAGCTGCTGGCAGGCACGGGGGACGCATCCGGGCAGCCGCTTCCCATCGCCTCCAGGGCGAGGCAGGAGGCCAGACGGCAAGCGCTGCACTCTTTCACTGACCGTCCACAGCACTGCCACTGCATTTTGCTTTTGCTGCAGGGAAACAGAAATAGAAGAGCTCAAGGCTCATCTGGCACGGATGAAGGAAGACTGGGTTGAGGAAGAGTGTAAGCATTTGGAGCTGGAGCTGCACTTCTGGGAAGCGAGAAGGGAAAGTCAGGAACTCCAGCAGGCTGTTGAAAGCATGAGAAACAGCTTGGCTGAGAAAGACAAAATAATTCAGAAATGCTTCATAGCCATAAGCATTGCAAACAAGAAACTGGAAGCTTTGCTGCAGGGCATGGGGATGGCTCAGAAGAGCTCTGTGAGAGATGAGCAGTGCCTGGAGTCCACGTGGGACTCAGAGGGGAAGCCGTTAGCATTGTGTGCCACGATGCCAGGCAGCCTCACCACGGAGGACCAAGCTCTGGAGGAGGTGGCAGGCAGTGGGCCGTTTCTTAATGAGGACACCGCTAACGGGACTGATTCATTTGAAGAGTGTTTGACCGCCACAACCTCGGGGTCGAGCGATCCAGCTCTCTCCAGTTCTGCTGTGTATCAAGATATGCTTGAAAATGTTCTGGATGAAAAACCAACTTCTTCTCAGGAGGAGGAGAAAATCAGCAAGGTGATGGTGGAACAGGCCATCCCGACTGACCTGGTGCCATAAAGCCTAGATGTGGAGTAGCTCATTCAGAACATCTTCAGAGCTCGAGATGCCTGCCCTCTAATCCCACCTGCTTCACTGAAGGAATTGGGTGAAATTTCTCTTGGAAACGTCCATGATCCTGCTATCGTAGTGGACCTAACTCCAAGTGATCCAAACCCTGTCATCCTTTTGTGTGAGAACAAAGAATTGCTAGTTAGCAAAACTGTAAACTGACCCTCAGACTAGAAGGATGGGTTTGTGTAAATGATCAAGAGTGCGGAACACCCTGTTGTGAGCATGAGAAGCTGCAGGATGGAACACCAGCTGTGGAGCATGTGATGAGCAAGTGGTCAGCAAACATACTAGATCTGAAGGTCAGTAGGATGGGAAAAACAGAAATTAAAGACGTAAACCGGGATTGCTAAATTGGGGGCTTGCATACAGGGTGGCAGCATTTGCACTTGCCCATTCTCTCCCTTCACAAACTGAAGAGAGTTTGTCATTATTCAACACATTGTCCCAATCCCGGCTGGACCGAGACCTGCAAGTGGTGCCCCGTGTGTGGAATGAAGAAGTTGGCAGTGTGCTCATCTGCCATGGAGGAAAGTGAATTCCGAAGTACAGCATTACCACATTGGGTGAGTACCAGACAGCAGCACCCAACTTTGGGACAGCTGCCAGAATATGGAAGATCAGAAGGGGTTTTTTGATTTCTCTTTTTCTCCTTCTCTTCATAAATTTGGTAAGGACCAGGTAGCAGCGCCTGTCTGTGGGAAAGCAGCTGGCATAAGGAGGTTTTTTTCTCTTCTTCTTTGTCTCTGTTAAATAGTGAGATCAAGGCCTTCTAAGGAAACTTTCTTCTTCTTTCTCTCTCTTAAATCATGGGATCAGGGTTTTCTAAGGAACAAAAGCTGTATATGCAAGTTTTAAAGCAGCTATTGAAGGCTGCTCAGTGTTTGGTAACAGATGATCAACCACATGAGTTATTGTGCTGTATCTTTAAGTATTGTACATGGTTTCCAGCAGACAGAAGTTTAGATCTAGCATTATGGTGGAAGGTAGGATGAGAGTTTAGAACTAAAAAAGACCTGAGGCTTTCAATTCCTACCTCTGTCCTGTTTACATGGGAATTCATTTACATGGCTTTATCACCATTGGCAGGAAAAATAGTAGAACCTGAGGGTACCCCATCCCAACAGAAGAAAGAGGTGACCCCCAGTGCTCTCCCAGGAGAAACAAGCTGGGATGGAAAAGGTAAAGATGAGGAACTGGAATCTGAATCACTGGAGCAGTGGGTACCGTGTGATCAGCCTGTTGCATGCTACCCCCTTACTCCCCCATGTCCCCTCCACCCCACCACCACATGTCACTGGCAGCACACCCTGCTCCCCACCAGCCCACTGCCGCCCCCCCCCACCTCAGACATCCCCGGTGGAGATTCAGGGAAAAGTGTCTAGGCTAGAAATATGTTTTAAGGAGGTACAAAATACTGGGGACCCTGGGGCGTTTCCAGTACTTTTCAGACAGAACCAGCAGCCACAGCACGAGTCCCTGTTGTATGAGGTTTTTAAAGAACTATGTAAAAACATTACTGAGAACGGGCTTTAAAGCCCATTTACATGTATATTGGAGGGAATCTCTAATGGGTATCAATTGGTTCCGTGCGATTGGCAAGGACTTATAAAAGCAGTATTATGCCAGCACAGTATTCCATCTGGAAAACCGAGTATGAATATCACTGTACTAAAGAAGCCATGGAAAATTTGAATGACCATTCATCGATAGGCTATTGTTGCATTTAAGGTGCCGAATTAATTAATTTGGTAAGAGATGAATCCCCTTGTGTTCTAGCTGGTCCTCAGAGATTAGAGGTGCTAGCTGCGTCTGGATTTATCTCTTAATAGGTATGCCAATTATTGCTGTGACTGTAGGCCTGACACCAGATACACAAACAGCCCATGTGCTGTAGGTCTGGTGCGATTCAAGAGAAGCAGTCAGGTACATGAATAGCATGGTTTATGCTTATGCAACATCTACAGATTCTCTGAGATTTCCTATGATAAATGAACAAACTGGAGGTTGGCTATATAGCACTACACAGAAAAATGATTGCAAGCACACACTTAATTCCAGGGTAATCACTCAGCATAGCCAAGGGCACAAATCTTACCAAAAGGCATCCCTTCTGAGGGGGCAAGGAGCACAAACACATCGATCTGTCCCTCCAATTTGGTGTTGAATTATCATCCCTCCAAGTTAGATATAAACTCAGGGTAGTATTTATCTAAGTGTGTATGTGTGAGTAGGTGGAACTGTGGTCAAGCCATTGTTCCTTGAGCATTAACACAGTACATTTCTTGGTGCAATGTGCACAGAGTTGTTCTAGGAAACATAGGCAGTTGTGGGAAAAGAGGAAGCATGCGAGATAGTGTCCGCAGAGTGGTACAAATCATCCCTTGGGAAAAGGGGAAGAGTAGGAGATAAATCTATATGGTTATGTCAAAACATTTCTTGAGAAAAGTGGAAGAACAGGACCGTGTGGCCTCCCCCTCACTTCACATTCCTCCTTGGTGCCATGACAACACAAATCACTGGATCTCCATCCTGTCTTGTGTTTGTTATGGGCACCATGTGTTAAGGAAATGTATATCTTGCAGTTTCTTTGCTGTTTTGATTTTCCCACACTTCCAACAGCTGTGATATGCCAGTTGGCAAAGGGCAGTATATGGACCCCTGTGTTCAACCCCTGCAAGATCAGCGCTTGTGTATCCAAGCCTCCTGAAATGCTGTATTAGTGTGGAAAAAGGTACCTGATAGGGAGCACAGAATGGGTTCTTTTGCCAAACCAAGGGCTAACAAGGGCCTCAGGACTCATATTGGCAATTTATAGATTGTTTAAAAGTGGTGATCTCTCGACAGGTAGATAACCCTGAGGCATTCAAAGCCTTAATTTTACAGCTAGCATATGACAATGCTAATACTGACTGTTAAGTGGTGTTTGCACCAATCCGGGGAAGGACCCAGGACTTTGGTGAATATCTGACAGCTTGCCAAAATGTAAGTATCGAAGACCACAAGGCGCAACTCCTCGCCGCAGCCTTGTCAGCAGTACAAGGAAGAAATAAAGCAGCACCCAGGGGAATCTGCTTCTCATGTGATGTATTTGAAGCCTCCTGTCCACAGTGCAGAAAACCAAACCACGACGGATTTCAATGACCTCTCTCACTTGTTTGACCCTTATCTCAACTAACTTGGCTGACTTGCCATCCTGTGACGCGTACGAAGCCTCCTTCCCACAGTGTGGAAGGCTGAATTGCAAAGAGTTGCAATAATCGTCTTGAAATAAAGTTATAAAACAAAGAAGGGGGATATGTGGGAACGAAGAATTGGTGGTTAACAAAACTGTAAACTGACCCTCAGACTAGAAGGATGGTTGTGAGTAAATGAAGTAAGAGTGCGGAACACCCTGTTGCGAGCGTGAGAAGCTGCAGGTCAGAACAGCAGCTGTGGAGCGTGTGGAGTGGTCAGCAAACACACTAGATCTGAAGGTCAGTAGGATGGGAAAAACAGAATTGAAAGATGTAAACAGGGGGTAATAAACTGGGGGCTTGTATACAGGATGGCAGCATTTGCTCTTGACAACAGTTCCCCTTCACAAACTGAAGTGAGTTTGTCATTTTTTGGCGTGTCATCCCAAACCCAGCTGGACTGAGACAAGCATACATACCCATGACCCCCTCCCACACAAGGTTCTGTAGGCTCCAGCACCCGAGTAGAGCCTCTCTGTGCAAAGGATACAGCTCTGGCAGGTGCTGTGAGAGAGAAGTAGCCAGTCCCAGTGCTGTCAGTGGCCACCCAACACCACCTTAATCCTCTCTCCTCTGCTGCAGGGTGACAGCAGTGGACCTCTTGTGTGCAGAGGTAACAATGCTGACTAATTCTGGCTTGTTGGAGTGACCAGATAGGGGAAAGACTGTGCGAGAGCAAAATGACCCGGAGTCTACACCTCCACGCAGCACTTTTATGACTGGATTTTGGTACAGATGGGCCTGCATCCAGTAATAATGGCTACTCCTACACCACAGCCAGTCTTCACCTCAACCTCCTTTCAGAGGCCAAGGCCAAGACCAGGACAATCAGGTAGGTTTACACCCTGACCCTTTCCATGCCAAAAGTGGTGGAATTCTTTAATCTGCTGCAGGAGTTCCTGCAGGTCCTAAAGGGAAAAAAAGATTTAACTGCTGGATGAACAGGATCTAGCTCAAGCTGCAGTGTACCATGACCGTTTCTTTCTGGGGCACGGCCTGCTGATCGAAAGGCAGCCTGAGTGTCAAAGGGCTGCTCTGTCCTGTCCCTGCTCCTCTGAGCGCACACAAATGCTGAAGTTGACTTATTCCTTGAAATAAAGTTCCAATTTTGACAGCTAACTGTGCTTCAGTCCAATTTGGTCTCCTGTGCAAGGCAAGGACTTCATGCTCGACACCTGCAAAATGAGGCTGCAGGCAGCCAAGCAGGGCACAAAGGGAAAAAGTCACTCAAAAGGGCTGAAACTCTGCCTCGTCAGAGAGGAGGGAAGAAGGGAACAGAGGTCATAGGAGGTGAGAGGTCTTGGGCACAGCAGTTGGAAACACAAAGTGTCTTAGGCTGGCTACTGGTGGGACCCCTCTATGTATGTAAAATGCACCAGTGAACTTCAAAGTCCTTCCCAGCCTCCTGAGGTGGGCCAGTGAGACGCTGGGCAAGGAGAGGCTGCTTTCCCCCATGGGCAGCTGGAGACAACTGTGCCTCAAGGGCCAGGTGCCTGAGCAGAAGCCGTGCAGGTAAGGAGCCAAAGGGGAAGATGAAGGGCCCTGGGCCCCTGCAGTGCCGAGGGCTGCGGCAGCCCTGGGAGCTGAGTGTGCCCAGTGCCGGGCAGGCGACGGAGCTGGGCGTTCTGCAGTGGCAGGCATTTGTATGAGTCTTGTTTGATAATTTCATGTATGACAAGGAAACTTTAGTGATTTATTTACATTTGTGGCTGGGCGGAGAGTTATTATTTTCAAACAATGTCAGTTAGAAAACTAACATTTCTACTCCTCTGTAATGAATTTTAGTTTTAGTTTTGTTTGGTGAGTTTGTTGTTTGTTTGTTTGTTTTCCTGAGAAGAGCTGCTTTCAAAATCCTGTGAATTATGTGGCTGTTTAGCACAAGTAGGCTGTGGAAGAGGAATCTGTCTTGTATTCAACATCCTTGTG